CCCCAAAACCCCAAAACCCCATCCGTTATTTATAGAGAGGACTAGTATTTTAGGTCTAAATAATAAATCCTTTTGAAGTCTTAAAAATTATAGATTGTTAAATTGAATTTAAGAAAGATAATAGAATTTTATGGAGACAATATATTGTAGCGCCTGGGGAATTGCCTCAAAGGGGTAGCTAGGATGCTTTTATCACTCTAAAAGTAGTATTAACGCTTTGAGAATACCAAATTAGTAATAGGAGGGAGGTTATATTGAGGTATCCTGCGGAGAGAATCATAATTTATTGCTTACAGATTAATTGCAGATTCACTCTTGCGGTTCAAATACTTATGGTTAACTTGGAATCGGGAATATGAATGCTTTGTAGATCTAGCAATCAAACAATCAACAGCAAACTTAAATCCAGAGTACTGTTTTTAGGATTAAAACCTTCAATACTGATCAGAGTTAGCTAGATGGCTCAGACACTAGAGATCTTGCTTCAAGTAATAATCAGAAAAGACGTTTTCAATAGATTTCCTGCGGATCAGAGCATTCCTTTGCTCTTTCTGAAGAAGGGGAGTTATTCTCATGGGGGCTAAACTTTAAAGGTTAATTAGGACTTGGAGATTTTGATAATAGATATGAACCTACCCTAATAGAAAATTTATGCCCAGTTGACTCTGTATAGAACTAAAATAAGAGGAACTTACTCTCAATGATTAAAAGATCAAAATCAAAGGAAGGTGGGTAGAGTTAAAGAAACAATAATGGTTATGATGAAAGCTAGTTTTCTTAGACTATGAATGTTTAAGATTAGAAGGGAAGCTCCCATCAAAGAAACAACCAAGGAAGTGGTGGTGTAGGCGGAGCAAGCAAAAGTATATTTAATGCTTCGTATAAAGAATTGAAGCCATCAAAGTCAGTCGATCTATCAAGTTTTAACAACAACAATAATAATGGCTAGCAATACGATGAATAGCTTTTCAATCAGTTAAGTTAGACCCTGAATCTAGGAAGTGATTCACCAACCAACGCATTTTTATTGAAGGTTACTGAAAAGATTGTATAAGTAGCTTGTGGTTCAATACACACTCTTGTTAGATCTTCTCTTCATAGAATATTCTCAACTGGTAACGGAAGTACATACGCTTTAGGACATAAAAATAGAGAATCTTGCGCATCGTTTAAACAGATAGAGTTCTTTAATGGAAATGATGAAGGTGTGTAAGGGTTAGGGATCAAAACTATAGCATGTGGTTTATCTCATAGTGGTTGTGTCTTGAGTGATGGAAGTGTATACTTATGGGGTATTGTAGGAGATATATAGAACAGTAAAGATAATCTTGGAAGAGGCCTTTTAAAAAAGCCAACTAAAATCTCTTTCAAAGGTAACAACAACAGCAATGACAATAGTGGAAACGTTTCTCATAGAAGAAGATCAAATGCGTAAGATGAACTGACAGCTGTGATAATTGATGATTTGAAATTAGGAGAGTAATTTAGCGTGGCTCTTTCAAATAAAGGTATAGTTTACACTTGGGGACTAAATGATAAGGGTTAGTTAGGTAACGGTACTGAGTAGTCAACTTTAGATCCAGTGCCTGTTCCTTTGAAATAGCATATTATGAAAATCGATTGTGGATTAAAACATTGCCTCGCTCTTGCTAAAACTAACTAAATATATGTTTGGGGATCAAATATGCAAAATTAATTGGGAAAAAAACTTCCTAATTTACAGTAATTTTCGAATATACCTATTTTGAATTCAGCATTTGAAAACGCTAAACCTTTTAAAATATCTTGTGGATCATATCATAACGTATGTCTTAGCTATAAAGCACCAAAGCTTGAAGAAAATGTTAATTCTGACCAAGATGAAAATAAAGCAATTTTAGGAGGAAAATCAATGAACTAGTAAGAAGAATTGAAGTAGAGTAATGCGACTCACAACGATGAAACTTGCCCTAATGCAGAATAAATCAAGAAGTTGAAAGGTGAAATTAAAAGGTTGAGATAGGAGCTAATATTAAAGGGAGTATCAAGAAAAAGAAATGATGAAGATAATTACAACAGTGATGATTCTGAGCTCGATGAAGAGGAAAAGGCAGCTATTAGAATGTTACCACCTGAAGCTAGAAAATCCTTATCTGAGGCTGAGTAAGCTGGAGCAAATAAGTAATACATTAAGAGAAAGATCTAGTAACTTCTTATCTAACATTAACAATAAATGACTAATAATGGAGTTGAAAAGACATAAGGGTTCCAAGCTAACTATGAAATAAGCTACAATGATTTGCAATTTGATAAGAAACTTTCGGAAGGTGGCTATGGAATAGTCTTTAGAGGTAGATGGAAACACACAGTTGTAGCTATTAAAGAAATTAAAAAGGAAATTATTGAGCAAGATAAGCTAGAGGAATTTAAAAATGAATGTGCAGTAATGGAAGTTATTAGGCATCCAAATGTTGTTCTTTTCCTTGGTGCCTGCACTAAACAACCCAACCTTTGTATCATTCTTGAATATTGCAATAGAGGTTCACTTTGGAGTTTATTGCATGATCCCTCAATAAAACTTAATTGGGAATATAGAAAGAAGTTTTCACTTGATATTGCAAAGGGTGTATATTATTTGCATACAAATAAGCAACCTATTCTCCACAGAGATCTCAAGAGTTTGAATGTGCTCCTTGATTAAGCTTTGACTTGCAAATTGGCAGATTTTGGTTGGACTCGTATTAAGGCAAAGGTTATGACATCGAAGATTGGAACCTATTAATGGATGGCTCCTGAAGTAATCAATGGATATAAATATACTGAAAAAGCAGATGTTTTCTCTTTTGGAATTATTCTTTGGGAACTTGCTACCAGAAAGCCACCTTATTATGGTATAGATGGATAGGAAGTCAGCAGGAAAGTAGTTAAAGAAGGTTTAAGACCAAAGATTACAGAGAAAGAAGCTCCAGGAGTATTTTTGGACTTGATGAAAAGATGCTGGCATGAAGATCCAGAGAGAAGACCATCATTTGGAGAAATTATCAGAGAACTAGAAGCAATGAATTTCAAGAATATGCCTTGAAAATTATGAATTAAATTCTATATCAACATTATTATCTTTTATAATCATTTTTATAGAACCTTGCGGGGTTTTGGGGTTTTGGGGTTTTGGGGTTTTGGGG